ATCGGACAAGCTGGAGGGGATGCAGCAGGCCAGCGGCTCAGCTCACTCGCTGTTCCATGTAATTAATACAATTAGCAGTGTGGGGCTGTTGAAACTGGGAAAAGCGACACGTCCTTTTCCATTCAACATCCTCCTCCCATGTCAATTTTCTGTGTTCGCAGATGAGACGATTGATGGGCCGGGGGGGCTGGACCAGACGTCGCGATTGGGCGGCGCAATTCTGGGGGTAGAATAGCCTCGTTAATGAAGTAGTGTTGTAGTGCAGAATAATGAAGATCGGCTGCGAATACGGATGTTGCAGACATTGTCTTATGTCCAGGTTTCTACTACAGGTAGATGTATATATATATATATATATATATATTGCTGGTCCGGTGAGTGCTGGCACCGCACGAAGCTGGAGGGAGTTGAGACTTGTCTACTGACGACAACATAATAGGTAACCACGGGTACTTGCATTTCAATATACCATCTAAGTGCATACGTATCCTGTAGTCCACTTTGGGACTCTCCCACCTTTGTCCCCTGGAGGAATATTAGAATTGCCTCTTGAGTGGGGTGGAGGAGGGAGCACTTAGAGAGTCACTCTGTATTGTCGTTTGTCCGTCCACCCCTGTCAAACATGTACGTACCTCTCGCGGTCCCCCTCTTGGTGGAGTCCCCCATCTCGCTCCAGCTCGCACGAACCACAATGCCCCTCCCCTCTCTCCATTCATCTTTCTCTCCTTTCCTTTTCGTCCACTCACCACCAGCGCTTTCCTTGTTGCGCCTCATCAATGGCCTTACCTGCCTGCCTGCCTGTCGTACGTGCGCGGGAGCAGTGGGTGCATTCTCTTCCTCGCCTGCTTCATTGTGGGAATCTGCAGGTGTATGCATCGGGCCTCTTTTTATGGTTCCAGGTCACTCCTTGCTGCAGCCGGCGCTACTGCACCAGAGACCCGCCACGACAAACTCCAACATTTGCAGTCCCTTTTTCATCCCCGGTCCGACCCCACCTTTACTCTAGCCCCAGTATTCGTAGTCAGTATCCGTATCATTCATTCCCACGTTTGCCCCCCCTCAGTGTCCTCGTTGATTACTTCCTACACATGGCAGGAAAGGTCGGCTCTTTACAGATACATTCGTACGCGTTTAGCCGTCGTCGTTCCTAATCAAACAGCGGCTGCACCGTTCGGACGCCCCTAGATCTGCCTCACTCGGCCGACATGTGCCCCGTGTGTCTGTGTAGCGCCCCTCGCGTACCTCAGCCCTTAGTGTTGAAGTTCGCATAGCCATCATATGTGGCGTTTGTTTGTGTATGTATGTTTGTGTGTGGGTGTCATGTACTTGTATCATCAAATCATAGGCCCGGCGCTAAACGTCAAGTCCTCGCCGACCAACCGCAGTTGCCCATTCTGGTGAGAAGCGGCGACTGACAACAAGAGGTTAAGGTTTCCAGGTCTGGCAGAGGGCGAGCGAAATTCGCCTTCATCGATGTAGCAGGAGCCGCGCGCATTGTGCTGTGCCTATCAGTATCTCACGAGCGAAGATAGCAAGGAAGCCCACAAGTAAGAGGGCTTCTGGGTGGTGGGAGGCACAGGCGGGCAGCAGCACGCACCACTTGGCCCGCCGAGCACGGTAGACACGACGAGGCCGCCAGACGAAGCAGAACGCCACACGACGCAAGACCAAAGCAGGCAGAACCAGACGAGCGGCATCAGCATCAATTCCGGGCCTTGAATCAACACGCCCGTTACATGTGTTCCGCCCACAAGCTTCCTCTCCCCTCCGTCCTTCGCCGTGTTTCCTTTTCACTTTCATCAGCCTACGTACGTACGTACGTATGTATCTACCTACCTAGTTAGCCTTGCCTTAGACTTCAAATTCATTCATCCCAACGAGCTCCTAGGGTGTTCGACATTGTACCTTACTGGCTAGCAGCGTAAGTACGTACCGACTGTGGATAAAGTGATAGGAAGGCACGGCGGAGCACCTTCCTCGCCTGCCTCTTAGGGGCCAAGCAAGCAATGCGGATGAGAGAGAGAGAGAGAGACAGAGAGAGAGGGTGAGAGAGAAGGGGGGGGCAAGGCGTGGGAACGTGCGGAGGGTCGGGGAGGGAAAGAAAAGGAAAGTGAGAGGAAAGGGGAGAAGACGGGAAAACGAAAGCTACCTTGGCACGAAAGGTACAATACAACTTTGGAGTGTGTGGTAGTACCACGATTTCCGTCGCCCAGCACCTGTCAGAGCGGGCATTCCGGTACGCTAAGATAGTAGTGTACCTTCCCCTTCTCACCCCGACCCCCAGGTAGGTAGGTACCTCCCAAAGCCGGGAACGGCAAGCACAGAGGCAAAGAGCAAGTGCTGCAGCAGTCACGGCAGCACCATCCTCCCCCTACGACCCTTTCCCTCCATCTCCACATTTTTGGCCAAAAGGCCCCCTTAGCAACCCTTAGCAACGAAACACCACCCCATTCTCTCGTTCTCCTTCTCGAAAGACTGTCTGCTGTCAGTCCCGGATTTCTGCCATCGACCTCGTCGTTTCACCTTTAAACTTCGCAATCCGGCCTGTGCCGTCCCAGATTCCCACTCATCGTTCCGCTCGCTGGAAATCAACCTATCTTTTCCCACGCTCACGCATTCTCGCACTTCACCCGCTGAGCCCTTTCCGAATCCGTCGACTCTCCAAATCGCCTAGCCGCTGCTCCTGAACCGCTTCCAAGATCCCGTCCGTCTTTCCCTCGCCAGCTGTTACGAGCCATCAACAACGAGCGCGAACAAGACCCCCGAGAATATACCCTCCATCAAAAAACACTTCGTCACATCATAATGGCCTCCAAGGTTCGTAGTCGCGGCCTCCCCCCTTCCCTCAATCCTTGCCTCGTCGCGCCGTCGCGCCGTCTCCCCATCGCCCCATCGACGCATTGCTAATCAGTCGCCGCCGTCCCGCAGTTTTTGAGAGAGTACAAGCTTGTCGTCGTCGGCGGAGGTGGTGTCGGTAAATCTTGCTTGACCATTCAATTGATCCAGAGTCACTTCGTCGACGAATATGACCCGACAATCGAAGGTTCGTCGCACATTCTTCGCTCTTCCATGCGACCGCAAATCGATCGCGTGCTGACACTCTTTCTCATTCTAGATTCCTACCGCAAGCAGTGCGTCATCGACGAAGAGGTCGCTCTGCTCGATGTCCTCGATACCGCCGGCCAGGAGGAGTACTCAGCCATGCGAGAGCAGTACATGAGAACGGGAGAGGGCTTCCTGCTGGTCTACTCCATCACTTCGCGCCAGAGCTTCGAAGAAATCACCACATTCCAGCAGCAGATCCTGAGAGTAAAGGACAAGGACTACTTCCCCATGGTCGTCGTCGGCAACAAGTGCGATCTGGAGGGCGAGAGAGAAGTCACGAGACAAGGTATGTAATGACATTCTCTGCGTCGCGGCACTGCAAGATGGCGATCCTCGCGACATATAGGACCCCATCGATTGGTTCATCAGCGGGACAATGACTGACATTCTACGCGCTACAGAGGGAGAGGCTCTTGCCAAGTCATTCGGCTGCAAGTTCATTGAGACCTCGGCCAAGTCTCGCATCAACGTCGACAAGGCTTTCTATGATATTGTCCGAGAGATTCGTCGATACAACCGCGAGATGCAGGGCTACTCTACCGGCAGTGGTGGCGCCTCTGGCATCAACGGCCCTCCGAAGCCCATGGACGTCGAGAACGGTGAACAAGAGGCAGGCTGCTGCTCCAAGTGCGTAATAATGTGAGCGACCTACCTCGAATGAGAGAGTGAGCGAGAGCAGCAGAGGAAAGTAGCGATGCAAGTGGCTGGGAGAGCCATGACTGAGATACCTTGGGCCTCGACTGGGCTCGGTGGGATGCTGGCAGATGTTTGAACGCACGGCGTCTCCATCTGGACGCATGAGCGGTCCAAACTGGGCCTAGCATATGTCGATTGGAGAAGACATGTCGACACGGAGAACCAATGATCAAAAACTTGTTTTTGTGCTGCATCGGACGGGGAGTCGGGTTCTGACTTGCTGCACTATTTGGAACTTGTTCTTTTCAGGGCAACTTCATGAACATGGTCACAGCACACGACTGGAATGTGGCGCGGGGACAAAAAGAGGAGTCCTTTCACAGGGCTGTCTGAGGAATCCTCATTGCATGTCACGGGATGAAAGGTCTGGGGGACATACACGTTGGTCCGCTAGCCAGAGAGACTGTCGGCCGCAAGACCTTGTGTGTGTATGTGTGTGTGTCAAGGGGTGGACTCGAGATTCTTTACTACTACACACTGGGAGGGTTATTTGAGACCAAACACCGGCTTGTCTCTGTCTCTTCTTTATATCAGTACTCTTTTCTTCTTTTTCTTCTTCTTTTTTTTTTCTCATACTGTAATTTCTTCTTTCTTCTGAGACACCGCAAGGTTTTTCCGAGGTCAGAGTCAGTCGTCAAGTCGTACAGATTCCCTTTACGTTAGTCCAACCAGCGTGTGCATGCTTTTCCTCTTGTCTTTCTTTCATGTGACTTCAACGGTTGAGCTAGGTTTCGTGTAAAAGCTCCTACTGGTCCCTCGACAGTTGTGCCAAGGCTGTGACGCCGTTTTCTGGCGCCAAGGTGACATGTGACGTGCCGTGTGGGCTGGTAATGTCTGGACTGGTTTTCGAGATGTGACTGCGGAGCTCACACGAAAGGGTTGATAGAGAATGAGGTTCTCGATCCCCAGGAAACACGACCTTTGCTGGAAAGTATTGTTTTAAGACTCCAATGTCGTAGCCGTAACGAAGAACAACACTGACCCTATTGCGCAGCCTTGGGAGCACACCTCAGGTCGACTAGTCAAGGAGAGCAGCCAAGACGGCAGAATCCAGATGATGTATTCGCCAGAGAATATGTCACCCTGAAACGTGTAAGAGTGAGTGCCTTTGGATATACCTCAACAAGTCGCCGGCCGAGACCTCAGCCAGCCAACCATCTAGTTGCAGTTCCCTGAGATGCCCCATTACGTAATGCGGCCAGCCCCTCGCGTTCAGCCTCAACGGCGTCGTTCGGCCCAGAAACATCCCACATAGTAAGAGAAAACGCCAGAAACCATGCTTTCTTCTTTCAACCCTTGCTTGAAACCCGCCGGTAATGCGCCCGCCGCCTGCTTCACCGCCACGCTGGGTGTGGCATCACTAATCCAGTTGCGGGCCTTATACGAAATCCCGTAGGAAAGAAAGGAAAATGAAATGAAGATTGAAAACGGACAAGTGGAAAACCATGGACAGACAGACGCCCTATCTTGCCCCGCCCCCGTCGGCTCTCTACTCGATTGACATCGGCTCCCAGTTTTGCTTCCAGAGCGACACCGGCTCGACCCCGCCAAGCCAGTCGCTCACGCCGGGTTGCAGGCCCCGCTCGAATTGCTCGCAGACGACGGCCTGGCAGTTGAGGCACAGGTAGACCAGCGAGATCGAGAAGTCGCCTTCCAAGGCCAGCTTGCTCGGCTGCTCCTTGCAGAACAGGCACTTGTCGGGGCCGAAGTTGGTCACCGCCCACTCGGCCACGAACATGGACTGCACCATCATCGTCGTTGCCAGCCGGTAGCGGTGGTGCTGGCACAGCCGCCGGTTGAGCAGCTTGGCCGCGCAGAGGCACCCCGTCACCGGGTTCGGCGGCCTGTTCCTGTTCCATGCCCCGCCGAACGTCGCCGCGCCCTCCTCCGTAACCACGCAGGCCTCGCATGCGTAAGCCCGCATGTTGAGGAACTCGCCGCGCGTCAGCGGCATCGGCCCCTCGAAGAGGTTCCTCTTGCCCCGCATGTCGCACTCATCGCAGACCGTGTACGGCTGCGGCCGGATCAGGTGTTGGAGGTTCTCGCAGGACGCGCCGTTGCGCACCGGCGCGCCGCAGGGTGGGCAGCTCTCCTCGCAGCGCGTCTCCTCCCCCGCGGGGCCGTCGAAGTTGGCGGGTTCGTCGGGGATGTCGCAGAGGACGTTGTGCGCGGGCCTCTTCCACTTGGAGAGGAGCTCCCTGAGGTGCTTCTCGTAAGCAGGGGGGTCCCACGACGTCCGGTACGGCGTACGGGGCTGCGCCGAGGGATTGTCTTCCAGTTGTAGGAGCACCCGCTGGGGGGGCTGGACCGGCTTGGCCCATTCCGGGACGTCAAACACTTCGGGGATGGAGAACTGGCGCAGCTCGACCGAGATGAAGCGCATGTCCCTCGCGTAGAGGTGCATCGCCTGTCTGATATCCCCGGCAATCCGGTTCTGCTCCTGCATATCCGTGCCTACGCCGTTGTCCACGTCCATGGCGACATTCGGATCAATGGGGACCTCGGCCCCTTGGCCCATCGACTGCAGGTCCTCAACGAACTTGTCCAAGTCGCTGCCTAGAATCTGCCCTATCTCGTCCCGGTTCTGAGGCGGGCCTTGAAACGGAGGGAAGTCCTCGTACCCGTTGGCTTGGCCGCCCTGCTGGGCATTGAAGCCGCCCAGCCATTGCTCGTACTTTTGTCCATTGCCGAGTGCCTCAAAAGCGGCATTGTTGTCACCGAAATACGCTTGGCCACTCAGACCGTTGTACGAAGACGAGGACAGCGACGCATCTGCCTTCGTGCCTTGCGCACTCAAGGAGTTTTGCGAAAAGGTGCTAAAGAACTCGTCGTACTTCTCGCCCACGCCGGTACCGAACGGGCGCGGCGCGGCCTTCTGGACCTCCGTCGATGCCGACAGGGTCTCTCCTTCGCCCAGGATAAGTGGAGGCAACGCGCTCATCACCGCACGCTTGGGCTTGTTCGGTCCGATGAGATCCTGCTCCGGCACGTCCCACCGCGTGCTGTCGACGCCGTTGGGCCCGTACCCAAGAGACATGTAATAGTCCGGCGACCCCCCGCCGACGACGCCCTCGCGCTTACACATCCCACTGGACCACTTATCGCATTCCCTCCCCTTGTTGTGGCAGCTGTCGCAGGGCCGCTTGCGGTCGCAGTTGTCGCCGTTGTCCCGGCACGGTTTGCACCCGATGAACGTTGTCGCCTTATCGGTCGAGACCCTCGAATACCCGATCATCTTCCGGTCCATGTGCGGCAGCGTGCGCACCAACCCGTCACGCTCGGGGAGCTGGCACGTCAGGCCCCAGAGGGAGCACTTGGAGCACGCGAAGGCGACGTCTTCGTTGTTGTAGCCGCGACAGTGCATCTCGTTGGCGAGGCAATTGGTGCACCGGTGCCGCCCCCGGGCCGCCGACTTGTTCTTGGTCAATATCTTGTCCCCGGTCCAGTTGTACCGATACGGCGTGTCGAACCGCTCCCCCGTCCAGGGGTCGACGCAGTCCACCCCCTTTTCCACGCACCGGCTGCACTTGTACTCGCCCAGCCGCACGTCCAGAATCCACTGGCAGGCTTCCCACTTGCGCTGCCCGAGCTGCGTGCAGCAAGCGCGGCACATGTGCCGCCACCACGGCTTCTGTCCGGGTTTGAGGACGCCGTCGCCCAACGTCGGGCGGTTCCACATGTAGTCGGCCGGCTCGTCGAGCTGCTGCGAGATGCCCAGTGCCTTGTCCTCGTTGTACACCTTGCACAAGACCCCGTCGACGCTGCAGGGCGTGCAGCCGACCTTGACGCGGTTATCGATGTCACACAGAGTTGGGCGGCTCTCGTTGCGCTTCTCCTTGCATCGCACGCAGCAGCTCGTTTCGAGGTCGTAGCTAGGGTACGTCGGCCGCGAGTTGGCGAATCGTCGCTGCCAATACTCGCCGCCACGCGCCGTGCAGATGTGGTTCGGGTCTATGAGGTTGCGGTACTTTGTGCACTGCGAGCACTCGATCTCGGCGGCATGGTCCGCGTCGCAGGGCCGGCCCTGGTCCCCACCGGCGCGGCAGTGGTCGCAGCGACCGTCCGGGGGAACATAGAGGAAGGGACGCCGTCGGACGAGGGCTTGTGTAGGGGCTTTGCGCGGTGGCGGCGGCGGGAGCTTGGTGTTCTTCTTGCTCTTCTTCTTTTTATTCGGCCTCGCGGTCTCCTCGCCTTCGTCGTCCGACGAGCGCTGGCGCTTCGGCGGCGACGCTCGGGAGGCGCTGAGCATGTACGTGCAGCGGATGTTCGCAACGACGCAATGGCTGCAAGGGTCGTGGCCCGAGCAGTGCGCCCTGGTCCTCCGGCAGTTGTCGCACTTGCGGATCCTGCCCTGGCTCGATGGTGATATGGCCTCGGCGTTTTGCCCACCGGACGGCGGGTAGTGCTCCGGCTCCGGCTCCGGCTCCGGCTCGAGGACGTGGCTGCTCGACGCGAAACCCTCCGTCGTCGGGAACGGCGGCTCTGGCAGTGGCACGTCCGGCAGAAGTGAGTTCGCATAGACAAGGGCAGACAGATCTATGCCTTCGTCGTTGATCAAGTCCTGAGGGTTTATGTAGAGCTGGTTTTGTTGTTCTGCGAGTGGATCTGGGTGGAGGAGTCCCGGGGGATTCGGATTCATATGCTCTTCGACCGGCTGCTGCTGCTGCTGTTGGACCCCATCATCGTCGTTGGCTGCAGACTGCTGAGGTCTGTCGAACGTCGGGAGGGCAATGGTTGCCGGCACCCGGTCAGACATGGTGGATTGTGCCTATCGTACTCGACAAGTGTTGGGCCGGGTGTACGAGTGACTGTTCAGGTAGGTTTGCTGCTCTGTCTAGTGAACGACTTGATTGGCGTTGTTCGAGCCCAATGACAGCCCCCCAGAGTTACAGATACGATGAACGGTCTTTTGTCTTTCCAGAGGCTATAGGGATTTGTAAGAGCTTGGGAGTTTTCGTCTCGCCAACTTCTTCCGTTCACGAACGAGGGCTCACCCTCCCGTCTTATTTCACGACTTCTCCTCCCGGGGGAGGTTGCCCTTCGATTGTTCACAGGTATGGTCGTTGACAAAGGAAGACGTGTTCTCGAGTCTCCCTTGTTCAACACTCCTTGTCAAGAGTTGTCGAGAGCACAGGGACATGGTTGCGAAGGCATTATACTAATTTGGGGATAAAGGCCATCCCTCGATTAGAATTGATTGATTTCACTTCCATTCATCGTTCTCGCCGGATTTGGACACAAATTTGGGTGGTGAAAGGAGTGGAATTCGGTATCTGACTATTGTTCATGTCGGCGCCCCCTCTTGCGTTTAACTACCTGTGGATGCGGAACTCATTGGCCTGTTGCCATGAAGATACCAGAGGTTGTATTAGTATTGATGAATGTAGTCGCTCTAAACCCCCATAAGGTTGTCTGAGTATATGACGTGTCCTGCATGGCCAGTCCCATGTCCAACGTATTCTCAGCACTGACAGTAGTTCTACAGCTTTTGAGAACTCTGCGAATTCAGGGAGCGCAACAACAGGCGTTAAAACGTTGCAGTTCAACAGTTGCCTTATGAGGTTGAGTCGGCCCGCCATAGTCCGCATACCTGCCAACCCGTGACGTCGCTTCGAGGGGTCGCATGTATTTGAGCAACAGGTGGCCTTGATGCTTTTATCTCTGAGGTGGTGCACTGCATGCACATAGTAACCCCCCCCCCCCCCCCCCCCCACCAGGCTTCGCCGGGGCCGACCAGTGACTTTCGGGCTATAAATTGACGAGTTTCCCTCATTTGTAGCCAGGAGACTCTCCAGGGTAGTATGATCGTGGGCCAGGACGAAGGCAATTTCCGCGGCTGCCAGCATTGCTGGCCTCCTCTCCGTCACCGGGCATGTCATCAGTGGCCTCATCAAGCTCCACGATTTTTGTTCAGTCTGCACGGGAGCTGAAAATCTGGACAGACTCCTTGGAGGCCAAAGTTGCGCTCCTCTCTGAGACTATGGCCGAAGTCAAGGCTATGCTGCACACTTTTGAAAAGACACCTGCCAAGAGGAATAGTGATGCTTGGGAGTCAAACATCACCACGCTGCGTTCACATCTCGTACGCTGTGGCAAAGATCTTGACGAGTGGGCAAGGTCATCCGTATTTGCTAATACTTCGATTTCCAGGCGACGTTAATTTCTTGACATTTTGAAGAACAAGCGTAACCGGGGTGTGGCGGATATGGAGTCCAAGTTGACACACCATCGTTCTCAACCAATCCTCGACATCGGTACATTAAATGTGCGAGTCTGACAGACCGTCTTATGTCAGATAGACTGAGATCATTGTATACTCCCAGTGCTTCATCACTTCTTGGCCTTGAGAAGCTCGGTGATGTGCAGGAGGAAATGCAGAGGTTGACGGAATCCAACCTGATGACGAAGGCGACAACCGAGGAGCTATATGCGTTCATCACCACAGCAGCGGATTCGACCACACACCTTGATGATCTGAGGGAGCATATTTCAACTATATCTTGTGCCCAGCTGGAACGTCTTGAAGGGCAACATTTACAGACGCAGAATTCCATCGCGGTCTTAAGCAACAGCATCGATAGCCTTGCGGGGTCTATATGTTCCATTGCCACCTCAATCGAACGGCTCAGTCAGACTTGCTCACAAAGGGGGAGGGAGGCTCGGAAGCGGGAGCATCTCGTCACAGCAGTCTGGAAGCGTCAGCAACGAGCCCTCGAGGAGACGAAGGCGTGCCCACTCTATTGCTCCTGCGATTTGGTGGTCTTGTGGAGAGGCCCTCGGTATTGACGACTGCTTCGTCGAGGGAAACGCGGGAGGTGTGCTTCATTGCATACTCTGCCTACAACGATTCGGCATCGGAGAATCTCATGAGCAAGCAAGACACATTGTCCATATCCACGGTCTCGATGCATGTGACCAGTGAGACTTTTAGAGCACGCTATCCAACTTCTTGGCCCATCTGTGCAACTGCCATGCTGCCCAACATCCAGCGTTGCTGTACAATAGCGGGCATATGATGCGATTCGGCAGAACTTCGACCAAGCTCCGACAAAAACGGCTTGAAGATTTTGTTGGGCCGCCTGTGGCCTCGGACTTGGCCACAAACACGAATCAAATAGAACGCGAGATGCCAGATCTGCTCTCGCAGACCCAGTTCTTTGAGCATAAACGAAACCACTCGAGGATCCACGCTTTCAGGGACATGAATTCTGCCATGGAATGCATTGCGAAGTATGTGTTCACCGAGCCTGACTCTCCCTAGCTGCTGGTGGAAACTCTACTACGAGTCGCCATCCTCGAAGAGAAGTTGAATGTTATGTTCAACAGGCAATTTCCGACTAAGTGAGGCCCGGTTCTCAAAACAATGGCCAAGGAAAGCCGCTCGTCCGTTGGACAGACGGGGGGAAATCGTGCAAAGGCCATCAAGGCCGGCCGCTGGTACCTTAAGGACACCGCCACCCGCCATCTCGCGGTTGACGGCCCCGAAAGTGCAGTTCCAGGCTACTCATTTTGTACGGAATGTCGCAGCCTCGCAACATACAAGACTTTTGACGACGCCGCTTCGCATCTGCAACGGCAACATCTCCTAGTGACGGGCATTCACCCGAACAAGGCAGAGTTGCGAGCCTTGTGTCACCGCTTCCAACAGCATTTTCTGAGGGAAACTATCGAAACAGAGCATGGAAGTAGTGTTATAGCCGCGCTCACCAGCCTGAGCGGACAGACATCGCGCCTAGACAGAATCTATTGGTGGAAAGCGGGGGTTGTCTGCGAATCGGACCATTTCCTAGTCATGCTTCGATATGAACATTCGATCGCTGACAGGAAGAAGATCCTTGAATCCGGCCTAGGTGGAAGCAAGCCAGTGTTGACGTTGATGAAAGATGTGCTGCCTTGGGGGGAGTTGGCGGCTCGTGGGTTGGGCGACGAGGGCAGGGTGGAGATCGACGGCGGCGGCAAGGACGACGGTGGCCCAATCTGGACGAAAAGCCACGGCGCGGTGGATGGCCGTGATGAAGATGACATATCGGAGACCGTCCCAGTCAAGTGTATCCTTGGAAGTCCTCCTCTGGGCTTGGCTGGTTTTGTTGGGTCCGACCGAGGTGGCGGCCATGGGTCGAAAGAAAGGCCGATAATAACTCTTTGGCCGGAATGACTTGGTCTTGAACCCAAGCAAGACTCTCCGCTACTGATTCTATCACCTCTACTCTCAAAGACCCCGAAGCCAGCCCGCTGATTCTCCCCGTCCACTCCCACCTGATAACCTCTTTCCCTTTCGCGCCAGTCATCAAGTTTCCACAATGTCCGTCGATATGCACCCTCTTCAATGCGGGAAACCCTCCCGAACAATCTTTCCAGCAAGCTCCGCAGCTACGACGCGCCTCGACAGGAAGGATCGCCAATGCTCATCGCCTCTCCTCTTGCAGATAGCTGTTGCCTCACGTGGAGCCGCCGTCGAAGCCTAGCCATAGCTAGGATGACCAGAGCAAGTGAAGCTGATGAAGATTCGGTGCAGCACTGAGAGCCTTGACGAGATACTTCGCGAGCTGGACTTAGACCCCTGCATGACATCGATGGAAGCCGAAAGCCCTTGGATGCTTGGACCAAGGGCTCGAGAACACCTACCCTGAGCATCTTCCCCTTTCCATTCTAGTCAGGGCTGGCTGGCCCCAATCCAGAGCTCTTCGATGTTGGGAGTATCCTTGACAATAAATAGGGAGCGGCTCTTCTTCAGCTCGCAGACTTCACCACCATGGATAGCTGTTACCTCAATCAGGCAGTCAATAGTCGTGTGTCAGTTGTTATCAATTACCTAAAGTCGCTTTGCCATGGGCAAGACTTAGGCAGCTGGCAGCAGGAACAATACAGCCATGTCGAGTAAAACTTTAAACTTATGCGCCAGATCAGGAAAAACGGAATTCCTCAGAGATCCCACGCAAGCAGCGCAGTTGTTAATTGTCTGCGACGGATGTCTTTCAATCGCCACCCAAAAGTATAGAGAACGGTCACCTTGCCTATTATAGTACCCAGCCGGTTAACCTGCCTCCCAAGATCCAGATCCCTGGACTTTTGAACCCTCAAATACAAAAAAGTTAAAAGAAAGAAAAAAAGGAAGAGAAAGGGGGGGGGGGGGGGGGGGGAAACCATATCTCTAAACCTCTGAAGCCTCGCCGAGCTCTAGGCTTCAATATCTCCTCGTACCCATTGTGACAAGGCCGTAAAGGAACGTAAGGGTATCCTGACCAAGTTTTCAAACATTAAAAATGCAACCCTCCAAAAAGTATGCTCGCCTCGTGATGCAAATGATTCATTGGTCTCAAGGAGTGTCGTGAAGCTGTCGTTAAGAGCAATGCTATATCATACGTTTTTCTCATGCCAAAGGCCAGATTGAGAGTCATAAGTAAGCCTCGTGAGCAAAAACTGTGGAGAATATTGCCGCCGAAGTATATACAAACCAGTGTTATATGAGCCCAGGACATGATGTAGAATTACTGAATGAGAATTAGATGAATAGAAGAGCCAAAAGCGGCGCGAAGATGGCAAGTAGGGTAGATGTGATCGGTTTCGTCGCAGTTGCTGTGGGAACGATGACAGGACCGGTGGTGCCGTTGCTTGGCGACAAGATGGTGGTGGAGGGGGTTTGTGTTCCTGGTGCTGTTTCGGAAGCTGAACCGCCTTCTCCACCGGCTGTGGTTGACAGAGTGCCGGAGCTGAAGCTAAAGACGCTGGAAGCGGAGGGACTCGGGCCAGCGCCGCTGGTTGTGATGCTAGACGAGACCGTCGGGGTTATTGCTGGAGAAGGCGACGACTCGCTTGCTGAGATGCTTGCGGGAATGCTAGAGAAAGCGCTTGCAGAGGCACTTGCAGAAGCGCTCGTGAAGTCGCTGCTGGCAGAGGTAGAGACACTGCCAGCTTCGGTACCAGATAAGACTGTTGTTGATACAGTCAAGATAGACTCAGGTAGACCTGTTGGGGTAGTATCAGTTATGATCGTGGTTCCAGAGGTGATGATGGCCGTGGATGTCGCCTCGGAAGCTGTAGCTGACGCCTGTGTAGTCTCCGTCGAGCTGAAAATCGATGTCGCCGAAGATGCGGCTATGGCCGTAGTGCCAGAGTTGACGGTGATTGTGGATGACTCAACAGAGGTGGTAGTGGTAATGTCGGGGATTGGAACCGCCGAAGTCTCCGTAGAACCGGCGTCTTGGTTGGCCGTGGTCAAGGTAACCGAAATTCGCTGGCTTTGAGGCGGCAATATGGTAGCAGAAGACGGGCTCTGAGGAGCCTCGCCCTCACAAAAGGAGATGAACTGCTGGAACTTGGGCTCGATGTGAATTCGTAGGGTCTCCTTTCCATCACCAGTGTCGTTCTCCTCTACACAAGTTCTGCATGCGGCCAGATCGGTCAGAAAGGCAGACCCCGCCAGGCAGATGCTTGCGACCTTGCCAACGGCCTGAACCTCAATATAGCAGTTGTTGCATCCATCGAAGCAAACGGCCGGGGCAATGGTAAAGTCACGCTTATTGAGGAGAGAACGGCGCCCATGGCCCTTGCTCTCCTTGTGGTGCTTGGGAGCGTGCTGGCCGTTCTCGGGGGAAGGGGTGGAGGCTGGAGCAAGTGTCAAAGTGGGCTGGGCTATGGGAGGGAAGTGCGTGAGGTCAGTTGCCGAGGCCCAGTTTCCAGTTGTGATGGTGGTCTTCTTGTAACCATGCTTGTCCTTCACCTTCGTAACAATGATTTCATAGTCAAAGATGTCGAAGGAGAGTCCGAAGGCGTTGGGGTTAAGGTTAAAGTAGCCATCGTTGGGCGGGAAATAGTGCGTTTCGTTCTCTTTCCACGCGGCCAAGGTATAGGGCGGCGCAGGAACGCAGTCTTTAGGATTGCAAGCATATTCATTTGCCGGCGACTCAGCCCACAGGCTGCAGCCGGCGGGCTTGGCAGGGTTACAGACGTACCCAGGCTGGCAGCCCCAAGTGAGGTTCGACTTGGGATTGAAGTCGACGACGGGGTTGAAACCAGGAGTGTTGGTGGGAGCAGGGCAAGCCGTCTTGTCCTGGATCTCGGTACGAGTAACGGTCGAAGGAGGGAGGGTCAGAGTAATAGGTGGAAGCGTCAAGGTTGAAGTGACGACAGACGTTGGGCCAGGGATGACGCTCGTGAAAGTAACTCCGTCTTCCGTGAGTGTAATGGTGGAAGCAGGGATGGTTTCCGTCAGAGTTGTCACCACAGTTGAGCCAGGTAAAGTGGTAGTAGAAGGGGGTAAAACAACAGTGTCTGTTGTTCGGAGGGTCAAGGTCGATCCCGGAAGCTGGATCGTTGTGACCTGTCCTGCAATCGTCGAGACGATTGTAGATCCTGATAATGTAATTGTTTCGGGAGGCTGCTGAACTGTGGTAGGAACCAATGCGGTGGCTGTCCTGGTGACGAATGAGATAACTGGAACTTCGGAGACGATTGTTTGAGTGCTGGTGAGCAAGGAAGTCGTCCAAACCGTCCTCTCATCCGTCACAGTGAAAGGGTAACTTGTTGACACAGTAATGGTCTCGAAGTAGGTTGTGGACACAAATATGGTTGTGGGTGATGTGTATTTCTCAGTCAAAGTCGCTGTCCTCGTAGCTGTAGCTGTCTGTGTCCGAGCTTCCGTAAACGAAGCAGTGACGGTCGCAGACGTAGTTAGTGTAACCGTACTGAGGAAGGTAGAGATGGTCCACGCTGTTGTCGTTGCGGTATGATTGACTGTGAGAGTATAAGGGATGCTCGTGGTGTAAGTAAGAGTCGATACGATCGTGGTTGGGGACACGATAACTGAAGTGACTATAGCGGTTTTGGTCACCGGCTGGGTGATAGTTGCCGTATCAGTGAATCGTTGCGTATCCGTGAATCGCTGCGTGTCCGTGAATTTCTGTGTCTCGACCTCCTTCTGGGTTTTAATTATAGTTAAAGGCACTGTAAAACTCTCCGTATAGGTCTTCCATATGGTGGTTGTTCTAGTTTCACAGACCGAGGGATGGGCTCGCTTCTGCTTGCCATAGCCGCCATAAGATGTCGGCGCCGCATACGTTGGCTCTGGTTCGACGACGGGTGTGCACCTGGCCAACGTTAGCTGATTCTATTGCTGGAAGCATCCTGTAGATGGCAAATAAATCAAAGTACAGTGTCTTGTGTGTTGTGCTATCCTCGTCTATGTCTGGTGCTATTCGTGTAGGGGTCGGGTGGATCTGGTGAAGAATCAAGGGGTGTGTTGTACTGGGGCTGACCACTTACAGAGCTACGGTCGTAGTCACCGGATAGGACTTGACCAGGGTTTGAGTATGGAAATCGGTAACAGTATAACCTTGAGTCGTAAAAACCGTCTTTGTGGAAACTGTGGTGACTCTGCTTTCTGTCAGCCCTGGATTGCAAATTTTAGGGATAGGAAATCGACTGACGTGGATGTAAAAGGTTTTTCCTTCGTCACGATTTTCGTCTCCGTAACCGTGACGGTCTTGCCCCATGGGCACTTGGAGCCCCAATGCTCGCAGTCGTCGGTATATGTGTCATAGATCGGCGACTTTTCCTCTACGTCTGTAGGAGTAGGCTCCGGTTGAGCCGCAACAGAGGAAGAAGGTTGGGAGGCCAGTGCAGACGTGGGCGACGACTCTGCTTCGGGTTGAGACGAGAAAGAAGGTGAAGACGATGGGCCGGGAGCGACTGAGTATTGTACTGATGCATCAAGGTAGGACTCGTTCTGCCTGGCGTACACTCGAGCGTCGTGTTGCGCCGTAATGCTGGCGGCGAATGCCCCCAAGAGCATAAGCGACGTCAAGCGCATGGCGACTGGCTGAACCAAATGAACGACTTTGGATATCCCAATTGCCAGATATCGATGTTGCATACAAGCTCGTCGCGGTTGTAGTGACAGTCTAACGAGCGTGGGATGACGGCTCTTTGAAGTTGAACAGGCGTAAGATAGTGCCGTTGGGGGACCGGAGGGGTGAAGCAGACTCGAAGAAAGTAAGAGTGGTACCTCGGGCCTCATATATGTATGTATGTACAATGATGTGCAGCGAGGAAGAGGGGAGGCTCAGAGCTGAGTTGGCAATACAGCCTTACCAGGGACTAGGGAGACTCATTTCAACAGCAGGATGGTATTCCCCGCAAGCTGAAGCCAGAGGAAGTAACCCGTACCTTGTAAGCCACCTGATATAGTGTCCGGTCCGCGGGGGCCGCGTGTAAGATGGTGTTGACAAAAATTGGGTGGTCTATAGGCTCGGCACCTTGTCAACACGGCCCAAGAGAGTGAAAGAGGGGCGTTAGCTGCTTAAACGGGGGGTGAAAGGCACCAAGGTTACGAAAGTACCCAACAACATGGGGAGCTAGCTACCTTGAGCTCTGGATCCTCATTTTCCTCGTGTGCTAACGTGCTACACGGCAAAGGGGCGTGGCTCGAAAGACAGTTGAAGCAAAACGAGATGCGGATTCGTGCTATAGAGTTACACTCGACAGCTATTGGGAATTGCTAGAGGGGGGGGTGTAATGACCCATTAAAACCCTGGCCAGAGCTGCATAGATGACGGCAGGGATATCGACCGAGTTGGCAAGCCACTGCCTCGCAAGGCCGGCAAAATTCAAGCAGAGGTCGGGGGTAGCGACGACTATAGGATTCAGGAGCGGTCCCAAGACGGCAAGTGCCAAGAGCGAGGGGGAGAGCTGCGAAGACGGACAAACTTGGCCACCTCGTCCGGTTTGGTACGCGTCCTGGGAGTGATTGTGCACGTAGCACGTCAAAACATGCCCGCGTTCATGGCCACCAGATGGCATATACAAGTCATTGGGGGCGCGGATAAGGCGGTATCGAGCCTGGTGGAAATACTAATCTAGATGTCATATTTATCACAGAGGCAAACTGGCATATGGACTCAAGCCAGGCTTCGGCCATGGCCATCCCCGTCCGGATTGGTGTACAATAGTGGATCAGGTAAGAGAGGAAGCCAGGGCTACCGGGGGCTTAAACTCCTTGTCAATGAGTACCCAAGTAGGCAAAGAAGAAGCCAAAGCCCAAGGCTGCACTTGATGTACGTTGCTGTCCGTGTGCTCGTCCCAGCCATGTTAGGCGTCTGGGATGGGATCGGGCGTCTGCCGGCCGTTGTCGTTGTGCCTGGATTGGTGTGGGCGATATCGACATGGTCCACGACCAAAGAGACTCATGCACGTGCAGGGGACTTTTGCTGCGACAAAGGACGCGAGTGGTCAGCCCCTGCTCCTTCTTAGGTGAGAAGTGACTATCTCACTGCATGCCGGGTCGAAGCTGTGGAGCACAAATGCCTTGCTGGATCAGCACAGGTCTTGAGAAGGAAGTGGGAAAGATGGACACGGCAGTTAGTGTACCTTGAAAGCAGTCTTGTCCGTAAACGAGATGCGGGAAGCGAAGCGCGTGCAACGGTTGTGGGCCGGCGCGGGGAAAGAATGATTGATGATCGTCGGTCCAAGACGCATGCGACACACCTTCCAGATTGATGAACAGGTACGTACATACGGCAGGAGGCCCAGGTTTGGCAGGTTCGGTGTGTGATAAGTGGTGTAAACAAGAGACGAGAGCCATGACCCCTATTAGGTTGGGCCAACTTGGTAAGCTGGCTGGAGAGAAAGGTCCGAGTGTTCAGAGAACAATGGACGACGGGGGATCCTGGGTCTGACAAGACTTCACGCAAGGGGACGTACTGTCGGCATTTGCAGCGTCGGGAACAAACAGAAAATGAATGCGGGACGGCTCATGAAAATGCCTGGTGGTGGGTTGGCCTTGCGAGGCTGGCCCGGTATCTGTTGATCAGTTCATTTTCCAGCCATTTGCACGACCTGTCAGAACCAATGTTGGACATGAGATATTTCAAGTTTTATTATGGGATCGCTGGGGCTTGGGTCTGATCATGACATGATGCTTGACCATCCATAGATGGCTTCCTGCCCTGCCTGCCGCGCCTACGAACCCCATGCGAACCATGGTACGTCGAGACATGTCTCGGTCGTGCCATCCTTGTGCAATGGCATCGGACTGTGGCGGGGAAGGCAGGCAGGCAGGCAAACATACCTAGACGGACTAGTATCCGTGTACTGAAGGCAATCGCGATCAGGCTAGAAAGGCCGTCAACGATGATGAAGTGTGCGATGATGAAGTGTACTAGGGTGTAGAGGAAGGTACGTAGTGGAGTTGACCAGGCACAAGGGGTGGGGATGGAAACAAAAGTGAAAATAGAGATCGACTAGGACAGAAGGAGCTTAGCACGAACACATGGGACCCTGGGAAACGTGCCTTCCGCCCTATGGGAGGAACTGCCCATGTCTAAGCCTGGATGTGGAAAGAGGGGTAGTAAGTGGGCAATTGTGGGCTCTTTCCGTCAGCACCTCCAGCCACCAGCTACTACCAGGTAGGTAACACCTGCTGCGTGCCTACCTCGTTTAAGGTAGCTTCGCAATCTTCTCATTCGCTGGAAGTTTCGATGGCTCCATCAGAGCCACCTACATAAGGTTCGGCGCTTGATACGTTGTCGCTCGACGCAGCTTGTTGTTGGCCTTTGTTGTTTCCTCCATGTTTTTCCACGGATACATTGTTCCTTTCCCTCGTTCCTCCAGCAAACGTTCCGACCCTTCAAAACCAAACGGCTTTCTTTGTGTTGTGGGTGGCTTTCCCTGCCGCTCCATCTCGCTTCTCTGTTCTGAATGCTAACGAGAAATAATAGTTTGCAGCCAATCTCGCCCTCCGATACTTACCCCTTCCCAGACTGCCATTCATTTTTGCCAAGGATTCGTCTTACTCAGTTCCATTCTACACGGATGACAGCTCCATTCTCCTCGACTGTAACAATAAGCTCACATGAAATATAAAATAAAAACAAAAAAGCCCATGTTCCCGATCTTAGCCCGAGCCTGCAGATCCAACTACACTGGTCCTATCCAGACCTCGTTGTGTCAACTTGGCAACCCATCTATTGACTGACTTGCAGATGCTCATCCGTGGTCCTCTGTGATAGCCACTGCCGCTACACCATTATCCGTGCATCCTGATGCCCAGCCTGCATCCGACATGGGAGAGAGGGGTGTAGGCAGTAACCACCTGCGTCCAACTGACATTTGGAACCTTCTCCCGCTTGCTGCGCCACTAAGACCTTGTCCCGACTCTTTCGATTAGTTAGCTATACTACGTAGGGATGCGACTCCAGGTTTATCCGGCTTGTCCAAGTCATCTGGTTGCTTCGGCTGACCTGCCTTGCATAGTAACAGGTAGATGGATACATGGTTTCTGCTCATCGTATCCTTCCAAAGAATTCATGGCAACAGTGCTTTCATGCTATGAAAACTCTTGCAAGGTTTCATCCGCTCTTATCAGCAAACCAATACGATGTTTGCACATCGATACAACCCTTCTGCTTGTGGTTGCTTGCCAGCAACTACTATTCAACTTGTGCCTCGAGAAAAGCTAACGGTCTCCTGATCTCCGCCCACCAATCATCATGCATTCATCCTCCAGGCTGGTCTCAGGTGAACTGGAAAGGAATTTGAAGCCATGTCGATGATTCTCCTGGAGACCACCGAGTCCGGCCCAGGCTGGAGCCCGAAGGCTTACATGTAACCGTTCCATCCCATCCCCTGCCGCCCTACTCCCCCCCAAGCTCGATTGCCTCCTCAAACTAAAGTTTTACAGGGGGGTCAGCCTTACACACCACACACAACTCGGCGGGCTCTACCAGGTCTCCCGGTGGCAATAAGCTGACCATTTTCTCCTCAACCTTGTAAGGTGTCTCATTCGGACCCCATGCCACTCTACCAATCTACCGTTCCTTTGATGACACGGCAGGAGGAGCATTGCGGGGGCTGCTCTATCTGGTGTGTGTACGTTCATCCCATCATCTCTACCTCCGTCCGTTGCTTCTGCCTCAAAGAACCAAGAACAATTCCGCGTGTGCTATTGATGTTTCCCCTCGGTCATGAACACAATCTAACTATCAGCCACAAGACCTTTCGAGCAGAGCCGCTCACCGCCTCGCAGGTGTTGTATTCTCTCGTCTCCACTAATTTCCCCGATACATTGCCATAGCTTCTGGCAGCGAAGTGCTGCCTCTCTCAAGTAATCATACCGGCTAGCCGCGATGCGTTGAGACAACAGCTGGCGACGTGCTTTCTCCCCTATCGCTTCGTCTTTATAGTGACTTCACTAAACCATCAAGCCATGGCGACCTGGATTTTTCTTGGACTTGCAGTCCTTGCTGGCTTCGTGGTCGGGCAATATGATGGATGGGACCTTGAAAAAGGCCAAGTCAGCGCTGAGATGTGCTTTTGGTATTCACCGAGAGGTCCGTTACACTATGCCACTGCCAACACCGCGAGACTGACCGAAACAAAGCTGCTGTTATTCGCGACACACTCTGGCTTGATGGTGGAAGACTTTATTGGACTCCCACCTACCGGGATGGGACCGAGGGAGCCCCTGAAACGTTGGGTCAGTTCGATCGCGCACCAGTCGTGATCGGTTTCTAACAATTCTAGACAACCCCCTGGGCCTCATGTACTCGCTAAACTTCAGCAAGCCCTTTGACAAAACAACAAATATTACCAACCTGATCGTCACCAAGTCGAAAGCTGCAGGAGGGTCCGGGAACGTCAACAGCTTTGCGCCCAACACCATCGACGGCGCGCTCCTTCACAACGACGCAGAATTCTTCCTGTATGGGGGCGTCCTCCCCAAGCGAACAGATGCCTACGGCCCTCCGCCCGCCGACAAGGTAATGGCATGGCGTATGCATGCCTACGGCCCTGAAAAACCCTCTTTTCAGAATGGCAGCAGCGACATGGTCACTCTAGAAAACGAGGTAACGCGGTATGTCGCCCACGGAGGAGCTGCCAGCGCCCCCTCGGAGAACAAGGCTTGGTACGTAGGTGGCATGCGCTCGCCTCTCTGGGGTGAAATATACATGAGCAACCCGAACCGCTCGTTGAACGCCGTCAACACTTCGAATACCCTCATCACTCTCGACATGTCGGAACAGTTGTTCGAAAAGTTCTCGAACCAGTCGTTGCCGAGCCAAATCAAGGCCAGGGCAAACCCCGAGGTCGTTTGGGTTCCTGTTGGAGCTGAAGGTATCCTCGCCGTTCTTGGGGGCGTCACGTACCCCGAGTATGTCAACTCCAGCCACAAGTCCGATGATTCTTTTAAGAGTGTAAGTTCTCTATCCAGCGCTTGCTCTCATCCTATCTAACATTGTGCACAGCAGCAAGAGAGCCCTTCGTTCATGGAGACCATCGACATCTACGACGTGGCCGGTGACAAGTGGTATCAGCAGAAGACCGAGGGGACAAAACCTCCGGCCCTTGCCCGAGGCTGTGCCGTTCTCGCTCCGGCGCAAGATTACTCGAGCTTCAACATATACTACTATGGAGGATATGATGGCATCCACGCCCAGGAAGACTTTAGCGACGATGTCTGGGTCCTTTCTATACCTTCCTTCCAGTGGATCAAGGTGTACGAGGGGAAAGCCCTTCATGCGCGCGCCGGACACCAATGCGTGATGCCCTACCCCGACCAGATGATGGTCGTTGGCGGTTACACGGCGATGCCCGGGAAGGGTTCGCCTCCCTGCCTCGAGGGAGGGATCATCCAAGTGTTCAACCTATCAAGCGCAGAGTGGCTTGACGGGTACAGCCCAAGCAAATGGTCAGACTACACCATCCCCGCCGCTGTTGTCAGCAAGATCGGAGGCGACGAAAAAGGGTCAGCAATCAAGACAAAACCCGAGGGGCCCGGATGGGCAGACCCAAGCCTGGTGTCCATCTTTGCGAAGCCGTATGAGACTTCGAAGATCAAGACGTGGTACCCATACACCGAGTCGAAGGAAACCGCCCGACCCAATGCCCCAACTAGTGGAAACGATGGAGGCAGCGGTGGCGGTGGCGGCGGCGAAACCCCCGAGTGGCTCGCCCCCGTTCTAGGCGTCGTCCTCGGTCTCGTCTTCATCACCGCCATCCTCGTCGGCTGGTGCCTCTGGCGCCGCCGGAGGGTCCTCAGACGCGGCAACGGGACCGCGACCCGGACGGACGACAACGGCTCTCGCATCATCTCCTGGATCAGGGGTCAGCCAAGCGAGCCGGCTAAGGCGCCGACCGTCACGACCGAAGAGGCACCTTCTACCCGAGACATGTCTGAAGTCCGCGCACCACCTCTGGTGCGGGCTGCATCGCCCGTGCCATATCACTTTGCACACGAGGTAGCCGATAATCAAATTGCCGAGCTTCCAGGTGAGCTCAGTAAATAGTTCCTTGGAGTGGAAGTTGCTAACCGCACACAAGATACTTCACCACGTCCAGAGCTTCACGGGGTCGGTCTGACACCCGTCGAAATCATCAACAAGCACACCCATTTCGGCACTGGCACCGGCTCCGGCTCCAACCCCGCCACCACCCACCAGTCTTCTTACTACGCCTCCGTCTCTAGCAACGAGAACGCCTCCTCCCTCTCCCGTTCTCCCAGAGTCCTCGGCGACCATACCCGCGCTCAGTCTCCCGACCCGGGCCCGCCATCACCGCCACCGCCACCGTCACCGCCGGCGGTCACCACGGCCGCAGCCACCCACCCGCCCGCGGACCGCATCGGGTCCGACGTCTCGGGGCCCAGCGACCACGACGCGCGGCATCTGAGGCATCTCAGCGAGGCGACAGTAAGCTCGGCGTCGTCGGGCGGCGGGCAAGGCGGGCTGGCGGTGTGGGACCAGCAGCGCGGGATGTCGGGCACGATGCCTGAGACGCCGACGCCCGGACACCCGAGCCCGCTGAGCCCGCCGACGAGGGCGTCGAAGGGGGACGATTATATAAGTGCACGGGCGTTGCCTGTCAGCCCAGCTGGGACGGGGACGTTGAGGAGGAGCGTGTTCCACGAGAGCGAGGACGATATTGGACCGGGAAAGTAGATCATACTGCTAGACGAGGTGGGCAGGGCGGCGCTAATACAACACATCATCATGAACGATTCCAACATCTGAACGATATGTCATCACCCTGATATCCAACGGTCCATTTGTCCACATGTTGTCGGTTCATCTCCTTCATCGCATCCGGTCGAGACCCCCAAAATCTGATTGAAAGAAAACAGCAGGTGGTGACTGGTGGACTGGTTGATAGGTCAAACGGGACACAAGACCCATCCGGGCAGGAGATATTCACTTCTCTGAATGGGACTTCGTCGTGACCCGGAGCGAGTAGTGTATACAACAATCATTCCCCCCAAAAGCGTGCCCCCTTAGCCTCCGAATCAAGGCCTGGCGCGCGCGCGCGCGCCCAACAAGCAACAACCCCGTCTCAGTTCTTCTTCCTCAGAGCCCCACCGTCAACGACAAGATCCTGCCCCGTCACGAAGCCGGCGTCCATCAGGTACAGCGCCGCGTCGGCGATGTCCTTCGGCCTCCCGGCCCGGTTCGTCGGATGGTCGTCAACGTCCTTGTCCAGCACCTGCTCCCGCCAGCTCCGCCCCGCCTCGTCGCCCTCCCTGCTCTCGTGCCCGGCCTTGATCCGCCCCGGCGCTATCAGGTTCACGCGGATGCCAAGCGCGCCGAGCGAGATGGCCATGCTGTGCATGAGGCCCAGCTGCCCCGCCTTGCTGGCCGCGTACCCCTCCTGGTTCGGGTCCGACTGGTGCGCGCGGAAGGACCCGATGAGCAGGATGCACGGCCCGGCGGCGCCCGACCCCCCTTCGGCAGTCTGCGCGCCGTCCGCCGCGTCCGCCTGCCGCGCCTTCATGTACGGAACGCAGGCCTGGCTCATGGCGAAGGGGCCGGTGAGGTTCGTGTCGACGTACGCCCGCCACTCCCCGAGGGTGTCCGGGTCCTCCATCGTCTTGCCGTCCCGCCAGTACGGGCTCGCGATGCCGCCGTTGTTGACGAGCACGTCGATCGTGCCGCCGAGCAGGTCCCCCGCCGCCGCCGCCTTGACCTTGACGCGGATGTCGTCCACGTCCCGGAGGTTGCAGGTCGCGTGCGCGAGCCTGCCCGCGTCGTGGTGCGTCTTGAGGTGGACTTTGACCGTGTACTCGAGCTCGTCCTCATCAATGTCGAAGACATAGACCTTGTGCCCGGCTTCGAGGAAGTAGCGCGTCAGCGCGCGCCCGATGCCCCGCGCGCCGCCCGAGATGACAACGTTCTTGGGCGTTCTCGTCTGGTTATTCAGCATGGCTGTTTGTTCGATGATCCAACGCTGTGTAAAGTGCTGGGGGCAAGTTGTTGGGTCTTCCTGGCGACGAGTGAATATATAATAACATATAAGAAGCCCAGACGTGACGCTGACGTCACGGTCTCGGCGCGGCACTTGAAGAGCGATAAGGATAGGGGCGAAAGAGAACCGTCATCGTACATGTTCTCGAGCTCATAAAGGCCTTGTGGAGCATTGGATGAAAGGTCAAGTGAAAATGTACTTACCGCCTTCTGCCATCGTATAGTCAAGCTCTAGACTGGATGTCAGAAGCACCAGTTAGTAGTCAATGAACCACTATTCTTATGAAATGCCGCCGCCGTGGCTCGGCAACTAGCAACGTCAATGTCGCCTTGGATACCTGGCTTGTCTTTGCTCTCACCAGTAGCACTTCTACAGGCAAGATCAACGGTGTTGAGCGATACAAATATAATTATCATTTCTCGTCTCTTCGCTTATTCGCTACTTAGCGTCGCAGAAACACATTATAAACCCACGCAATTAGGCTATGCCTCGCCGAGTCTACGCTGTTTCTCCCTCACGGAATTAGTGGAGGAGCTGATGCTGGCCTTGGACGACGAGTGCCTCAGCGACCTCTCCGCCAACAACTCGGCGCCGGAGCCGCTTTCCCTGCGGCTGACGCTGCTCTCCCTGGACAGCGGCGAGGGTATCTCGGGAGTGACGGACCTCGACTCGACATGAGGCCGCTTTGGTTTGGACATAGACGCCACCTTCTTCTTCCTCCTGTCCGACGCGTTGGACCCGGTGCTGGCTTTCCTACTAACGGTGCCGTCGCCGTCGTCGCTGGTGGCCGCGACGGACGGCGCCAAGCTGCGGTTCGAGCTCGTCGAGCTGCGGCGGCGGGTGCTGGAAGTGCTACTACGGCGTCGGTGCTCGCGCTCGATGGCGGCGGCGCGGGGGTGGATCGTTGCCTTCTCCGGCGTCTGGTGGCGGACGGGCGCGGGGCCGGAGCGGTCGATGCGATGCCAGGGTAGCCACCAAAAAATGCCCCAGCGCTGCTTGGCGACTTGGCGATCGCGGGCGGCGAGCTTTTTCTGGATGAGGGAGCGGCGCTCGTTTTCCTTTTCCCAGTATTCGGTGCGGTAGATTTCCCAGTTCTCTCGGAAGGTCGGCGTGAAGGGCTTGGCCAGAAGGAGCAGCTTGACGTAGTCTCCGCCCGGCGCCAGGTCCTCCTCGTGGCCGCCCTTTTCTTCGTCTTCGACCAGGATGGGCAGTGTCGGATGGTTTTCGGCGGTGAGGCTCAGTTCTTTCTCGACCTCACGCAGGACGGAGGGCTCGACGTAGCGGTAGGAGGAGCTCGCGGTGTGGGAGAAAAGCCCGTAGCTTAGGAAGAAGCCGAGAGTGGAAAGGAACTCGGCCCACCAAGAGCGGCGGATGATGACAAGCTTGGAATTGAAGCCGCGCAAACCTCTGTTGGAGATGGCAAACCAACGCCGCGGCCAGCGTATGCCTCGTTCCCATATTCCTGTAGCCCAAACCAGTATGGCAGTCATGACACCTCCCATAAAGCAGATCTTTTCAAATGTCTCGACTCCCCAGTAGACGGAGCCGCCAACGCCGCGGCCGTCTTCGCGCGGGGCGAAGAAGAGGGCATAGCCGAAGCCGCTTATCCAAGCTGTCAGCAGGGTGAAGAAGAAAGTATGATGGCGGCGGCGGGCGCGGAGCTCGAGGTACTGGGCGCGCAGGGAGGCTTCGAGGATGAGAAGATTCAGGTAGATCATGGACGGAGAGCTCGGGGTGTGGCTCAAGGGGTCGCCTTGCTTTCCAGAGTCGGGAACGACGCCGGTAGTGCCGACGGCGGCCTTGAGCTCCTTGCCCGGGGGTGGTGCGCCCTTGACGAGCGAGTCGAGCTCGTCGGCCATGGCGGCGAGAATAGGAGGAGGGGGAGGGAGGAGAGCGAGCCCGGGCGTCCCGAGGGAGGAAAGGGCTTTACGGTGATGCGGCAGTCAGGCCGCTCCGAGACGGGATTTGAGGGGCCTTGACGGCAGCCGGGGTCAGCACTGGCGTGCAGACATGCGTGGTCGGAACGGGGAGAATTGCTGCACTGCCGTGTTGTGTGTGTGTGAGTGTGTGTGTGTGTGTGTGTGCGTGTATTTGTGTATGTGCTTGTGTGTAGCCGGCGGAGCTCAGTCGACGTCTGCCGGCGTGCGCGAGAGAGAGTGAGGGAGACAAGGGCGGAATTGGGGAATTTTGGTCGGTGGTCAGATGTCGATTAGGCCGGCCGCCAACACGCTTCAACTAACTGCAGGTGGCTTTTGGAGGCGGAAATTCCGCTCCGCCTGGTGGCAGGTGTGGGCAGTGAGTGGAACGTCATGGCGAGGCGGGGTGGCCCGAGCGTGGACGATAAGGATAGTGATAAGGCTTGTTGAGGAAACGGCGGAGACAGGGTCCTTCTTTTGGAGTCTACAGACAAGCTGATAGTGTCCCCCCCCTGTCAACCCGAGAGTACCGTGCACGATACCAGCGATAACAGCAATAAACCTTATATCCTAAAGGCTGTAGGTTCAAATCCAGTTCAAGTCCAGTTTTCTTAGATTTTTTTAATTCCAAAACGGCTCCGCCAGGGAGGGTTGGAATGGTCTAACCCACCCTACTTCCTACGCTGCGCTCCGGGTCGGGATGGGCCAAGACCATCCCTTTTGCCTCTAAGATAGTTGTGTTATCACCTGAATCCACTGTCTGCTGGACTCTGCATAGACCAGTGTGCACGGTACTCTCGGGTTGACAGGGGGGGGACAATATCAGCTTGTCTGATTCCTCCTTCTTTTGACATGTGCAACTTGTGGTTGAAGACATAACGGTGGAAGGTACAGATCTATAGGCGACGCTTACATAACATGGGACCAGATCATCTGCCCCTACCTGGTAAGTAGATATTGACTACCGGTACCAGTAAAGCCATATACCAAATCTCATTTCCTCGCCCGAGATTCTACACTGCATCGAAGACATCAGCTGAGACAATCGTGAGTGGAGTGAGTGGTAAGGAAGCTTCATCCCATGTCGTATCAAAGTCAAAAAGTCGATGGATGTAGTTCTTCATGCAGGGCATCAGCGGCTGGTGTGTTAGGTATGCATCATGAACACATCTTGGAGCCAACTCAATTCATTGTCCGTGGACGGGGAACCAGTCAGGGGGAATCAGATTGTTGCCTGCATTAGGCAAGTGCTCCTGAATTCCGGACTGCGGACTGATTACTGCATTAGGCTTGTAGACCCAACCCAATAAATCAGCCTCAGTCAACGCCATCAAAAGACTAGGAGGCAGGCATCACCCTCTGTCCGTCTCGCTCTCAGCCACCATGTCAACCGTGCAGAAGAGTCGGCGATCGGGATTTACGTGGCCCCTTACCGCCGACACGGCACAATGCAACAAGCCGCCCCACTTCCTCCAACCCGCCAAACTCCGAGTGCTAAGTCCAGGCTCGCAACCCCTGCAACCCTGCCGCTCAACTGCTCAACAAGCCAGTCGGTTTTTTTTTTTTTCCTTTTCGGCCTACGCTACTAAAGTATCCCTACGGAGTACCTTGCGGAGACTGGTTACTACTCCTACGTAGCAGGTAGCGTAGCTTGTCGTTGACCGGGGTGTTGTGTTTCCTCTCACTCTCATGCCTCCCACCCCTCACGACTCGCACTTGCACCCGTCTTACTCTTTCTCTGCCACGTCTGCGCGTCACCACTGCCCCTACCTTCACTGCCTACCTACCTACGCATCACCTACCCTCCTTAACGCCGCCCGCGCGCATACCCAACACTGCGCCGCCCATTCTTGGTAGAACAAACAAGTGAAGTCGATCCGATTCCATCCACCGTCAGCTCGCTGCTGACGGATGAATCGTCCCAAGTTCCGGAAATTCCGCTCCCCGCCGGACACGCCCATCCGCCGCCCCCCACGGCCACCACACTGAACGCTACTTCGTTTTGTGACGCCCATATATAGACGGTCCTTCCCCGTCGCCACCTCCCCGTCACCCGGCATGATACACCAACAAACCGCTTCCACCTTAGTCAACGGGTCGCGACTCAAACTTGCTTCCTCATTAATCACTTCCTCCGCCACCGTCAAGTCTTCCGCCCCCAGCATCCGCCCCTCTTCTGAAGACTCCCTTCCTCGCCGATCTCACCAGACCATGGCCGCCGCCGCCGCCCCTCCCTCTGCGCCCACCGCGACATCACGTCCCCCGGGTACCTACTTCCCTCTTGGCTACAAGGATGCCGTCTACCAATGGGTGAGATAACCAGCAACGTCTTTTACTTGGTGTCGTTCCCGTTCATCCCGCTGACGAGAGCGTCTGCAGTGGACAAGTGTAACTCCTCAAGTCGCCGAGCGGAACGTCCTCAGCCACATCCCTTACCTCAAAGAAGCCCGCGAGAATGCCTCCCTAGATTCCGACAAGGCGTCGGACCCTTTCGGCCCGCGAGTATGGAAGTCGCAGATGGTCGGGCTCTCCGGGAAGAACCGCGCCCTGAACGAGTACTCCGTCGAGCGTGTCGGCGAGGACGTCGACAACAACCTCGTCATCCTCCACGGCTACGGTGCCGGGCTCGGTTTCTTCTACAAGAACTTTGAGCCCCTCTCCCGCCCAAAGGGCTGGAAGCTCTACGCCCTCGACATGCTGGGCATGGGCAACTCCACAAGGCCGCCTTTCAAGATCTCTGCCAAGGACCAGGAGGGCAAGACGGCCGAGGCCGAGGCCTGGTTCATTGATGCCCTCGAAGAGTGGCGGAAGAAGCGCAACATTGACAAGTTCACCCTCATCGGCCACTCCCTCGGCGGGTACCTCTCCATTGCCTATGCGCTAAAGTATCCCGGCCACCTCAAGAAGCTCATCCTCGCGTCCCCCGTCGGAATCCCCGAGGACCCGTACGCCGTCAGCGCAGCCATGCCCGAGCCCGAGGAATCGACATTCCAAAACGAGTTTACACAGGACCAGAACACCGTCACGAGCGACGACCAAAACTCCATCACGTCCCGCGCCAGTAAGAGCCATGCAAAGAACTCCAACAATGCGCCGAAGCGTCCCCTGCCGGGCTGGCTCGTCTGGCTGTGGGACGCCAACGTCTCCCCCTTTAGCATCGTCCGCTTCACCGGTCCCCTGGGCCCGCGATTTGTCTCTGGCTGGACCTCGCGTCGCTTCAACCATCTCCCCGAGGCTGAGTCGCAAACCCTGCACGACTACGCCTTCTCCATCTTCCGCCAGAGGGGCAGCGGCGAGTACGCGCTGCCGTACATCCTCGCCCCGGGTGCACACGCCCGCAGCCCCATGGTCAACCGGATAGACCGTGTTGGCCGGCAGATCATTGAGAAGAACGGCGAGAAGATCAAGGAGACGGGCGTCCCTGTCGTCCTGATGTATGGCGAGAACGACTGGATGGACGTTGCTGGCGGGTACGCCGCAGAAGAGAAGCTTAAGCAGGCGAAATTGCAGGCCCTCCTTAACGGGACTGACGAAGAGAAGAGGAGGGAGAAGGGGTCCGCCAAGGTTCTAATTGTCCAGAAGGCGGGACACCACCTGTACCTCGACAACGCTGACCAGTTTAACGACTACATATTGAAGGAGCTGGAAGAGACGCAAAAAAGCGAGATATAGATGTATTTGTTCCTGGCATGGTTTGATGGGACACGCTGGCGAGCTACCCAGTGACTTCTGTCAAATGGGGTTTCTGATTTCAAAGGCGTTTTTCTTGGGAGGATGGTATAGCATTGCATGATCAAATACAGCTCGGGCCTGAAACGGCCGATGGGGAGATATCCAGTGGGGAGCGTTTGGCTTGGCCATTAGAGCCTGTTTGGCGAGCTTACATAGATGGAGATCAAGATTTTGAACGTTTTCTATCTTGCCTGCACATGTTTCGTGTGGATATTTGATGTGCCCTCTTTCTATTCTTGCTAGTCGCTCGCCATGGAGCTCAAGGGGTCTCGGTCAGCACCGGACCACGCCGGCCCCGCAGGCGACGTCATCTCTGTTCCGCCCCGGCTTCTCGGGCGGAACCTAGCCCGGATAGTAACACGAGGTGTCCAGCGATATAAGAAGAAAGTCAAAGTACCGCCAAGGAATTCTGTAAGTGTGCTCCCATCATCCCAAGTCGAAACACGGCGGCCTACAACGCCATTGTCCTTCTGACGATGTGTGATTTTGGGGGACTTGTATGATCAAAGATGCCCTCCTAAGCACTGCAAAATAGTGGCAGGACTTATCGGAAGAGACATCCGTCTACCTCGTCTATCTATTAGCAGAACATAGCGCGGTTACAAGGAGGCTATGGGCACTAGGCCCCTCATATACATGGTGCCAAAAGGCTCATATGGCGATACTTCTACTTCCCATGCTCTCGGTCCACTTCGCTGACCCAAGCTTGTATATTCACAGGGAAACTGCCATAAAAATTCCCATATCAAGAAATCGTTGCTGTTGTTCGCTTGCTTCTCTTTCGCTCGCATGTTTTCACTTTGACTTGCAAGCTAAATTATTAGAAACTTTGCGTTTTTTTCTTACCTATCTTCCATCAACGCATAAGTAAAGGAGCTCATTGATGGACGAAATACTCTCCATCTGTTGTCTTCAAGTCGATATTACTCCCGCCATCCTGACCTCTCCCTTCACGTGGCTGGTTCAACGAGGTCTTCATATCCTCACGCTACCCCCACTAAGGGTATCGTGATCTTTCGTCTCAGCTTCAAGACTCGCTTGAGACAGCCATGATGTCTCTCACTGATCCAGAGAGCGAGTTGAGCGAGGCCAGCAAATCTCCATGTTACCCCCATGACCCCCGTTGAAGGCATCGTGATCTTCCATCTCAACCCTGGGCTTGCATGGGTCAGTCACGATGTCCATCGCCGATTCACACGACTGGTTACGCGGGATCTGTAGATCTCACGCTACCTCTAATGAGGGCATTACGATCTTTCATCTCAACCTTGAGACTCGCTTGATAAAGTCACGATGTCTCTCTGTGAATCACGGCTCACCCTGAATCAACCTCTGCGTTCTATATAAAAGCACCCTTTCCATCCCCTCCCACACTTCTCCAACCTATTCACTGAAGTCATCTTCCCTACCCCGCAAGACATAGCGAGAGAACAATATCTTTCATAAAGCCACTCATTATTGCGACTACTCCCCTATCTGCGCGGTTCATCACAGATCACCTCAGATCCACTTCTGCGCATTATCGTTTGAGCGAATCTACAAAACATTAACGCCCATCATTACGATTCACCATCGCAGCCAGGATCTTCTCTCCACAAAACCAGGGGTCATAGCCAAAATCATCAGCGATCGACACCCATCATCGGTTTAATCACTATATGACTCCAGTTGAAAGTCACCAAACGTTCCAGTGCCCTCCATAAGGCAAACCCCCGCCAACAATATAGCCAGACCCTATCAAGATGTCCGGCCCCTATTCCACCGACTTCTCTTTTCTCGACGGCCCCCGGGCCCCGTATATCTTCGAGGATAATTTCAACCAGAGCGTACCCCCCTCCTTCGTTGACCAGTACCAGTATGAACAGGCACCGAGCGCATCCCAACCCCTATACCACCCTCAGAACCACCAAGAACACCCTCTGGCCGAGCCGCCTCTGGCCCACGACGGTCTCCCCGTCGCCAAGCGTCTCCGATCCAGCACCCGCAGGCAACGCCACACCGCCCCCTGGGCCGGATTCCTGACGGCTTCCCGCTCGACGACCCCGGACTGTGAACCGCCCTACCACGCGCGCATCTTCAGTCCCGACTCCCTCCCGGGCGGCTTCTCCGACGTCCTCTCGTTGTCCCTCCCGATCCCGGACCCCGTCGGCCCCGAGGAGCGGTTCCACCGCCAGCACGAGATCAGGCACATCTTCGCGACGACCAAGTCGACGACCCTCCCACCTCCCTCGCCGTTCGTCAAGCGTCCGAGCCCGTCCGCCGCGCCCGACTCCCCCACGGACGTCTACCGCATCCGGGCCCCGCCGGCGCGCATCAGCATCCTTCCGATGCAGCCCAAGCGGTCCCTGGGCGTCTTCGTCCCCGTCGCCGACACGACCGCGGGCGCCGAGCGCGAGGCGGCGGTGGCGCACAACAACAAACTCGCGGCCGCGCGCCTCGACGACCTGAAGCGGCGCAACAACGCCGCGGCGCTGCGGAGCCGCAGCCGCAAGGAGCGCGCCGTCGCGTGCCGCACCGAGGAGCTCTCGCGCGCGACGGCCCAGATGAACTGGTGGAAGGCGCGGGCCGTGTCGCTCGGGGCGCACGCGGGCGAGTGGGACGCCCTGCCGGCGCGGGCGGTGCGCGAGGCCCTCGTGGCGGACTACCGGGTCGACGTCACGGACTTCAGCCGCGACGGGCCCGACGAGTTGGGGATCACCAAGACGGCGGCGGCCAAGCGGAAGAAGAGGAAGGCGGCGGTGACGGCGTGAGGAAGGGCGTTTGGCGGGCTTGCTGGGCGGAGCTGAAAAGGGGGCGGGGTTGAGAGAGCTGAGGTTGGTCCCCTTTCCGTTCTTGTCGGGATATCGATATGTTTCGGCCGCCTTTTTGATTTGCCTTGAAGGGAGGGAAAGATCAATGCCAGTTAATGATGGGAAGTTTTTTATAAAGATCCGTAAGGGAACAAGTTGGAAAATCGGCGTTAGTTCATGAAGAAACTAGTTTTGAAGCAGACTACATGCGCCATGAATGCTCACGTTGACTATGGTGGACAAAACCGAATACGTTTATACAAAGCGGCCTTCAGCCACGTCACTGTAGAAAGCCTCAACAGAGACCCCTTTTGAGAAACATCAAAAGACCCTGAAGATTACCAAGCCCAGCTGCCAAAAGAAACCCGTGGTATCTCTCGTCAAAATGCATCAAACGAAGCCCGGCCCCATTATTTCTCTTCTGACGAGAGAAGGGCAACGACACAGCCAGAAGACAACGTCTGAGTGTCTCATCCATCGTCCTTTCGCAAACCCAAAACGCCGGTCGTCATTATCCAGTCCAGCCTGGTTCCCAAGCTCCCGGTTCCCTTTCCATGTATCAAATGGCCGTTTCCATTACTTTCCCCATATTGGCACGGTTCCTTCTCATGTATTGCGGGCCTGGCGGTTGGCTTTCACCACCACCCCCGACCCGGCTCACTGCCTGTTGATAGATCGCCTACGGGCGCGACTTGCGCTCGGCCTTGATGCTGCCCATCTCGGACTCGTGGCCCGTCGCGACGCCGTAGCAGTCGGGGTCCGCGACGCACCCCTTGATGAAGTAAAACACTACAATGCCCATCAAAAGCCTAAGAATCTTCGAGTTAGCCAACTCCCATCCCCGTTTCGGCCACGGCTTGTTAAACGCTCCAAGACGCGGCAAGTTCCATGAGGGTTCAACGACGTACCAATTGATGGCACCGACGGCCGCGGCGCCAGCCATGCTCCCGCCGTACCGCATCTCCTCGGCGGTGGGCCCGAAGCAGGTCCTCCCAATGCACGTGTCGCCGAGGAACAGCCTCGCGATGCTCGCGGACCACGCCCAGCCGGACAGCCAGAAGAGGCAGGTGAGGCCGTAGCCGACGAGCATCACGATGCGGAAGTAAAGGTGCGGCGCGAAGCGTTCTGCGGCGATGGCGCCGCCCAGGACGACGATGGTGAAGAGGGCCTAACGAAAGCAAGTGTCAATAAATGTGCTTTTTTTTTCTTTTTCTTTTCTTTATTTCTTCTTCTTCCCAGTCCGCACCGCCAGCCCCTAGGAATCATTTGCATCGAAAGTTTGTGTTGTCTGTGGCTTCCCGACAGGACACGCCCTCCTCAGGACACGAGCGGACGTAACAACAGGGAGAGGAAAAGAAAAAAAAAAAAAAAGAAAAGACTTACAACGAAGAGCATGAAGCCCGGCGGCCCGGTGAAGCTGCCCGAGTAGGTGCCCAGCAGGGATAGGCAATAGGCGCTGGCGGCGAGGACAGCGAGCGAGAGCACGAGGGTGGCAACGCGGGCGATGGCGAAGAAGGACGGCGTCGGCGGCACGCCCTTACCCATGAGGCCTCTGATGTTGTCTGCGCCTGTCGTCATCTTGGCTCCTTCAGTCGGCTGTCTTGTCTTCTCTTGTCTTGTCCCCCTCTCTTTTTCTCTTAGAAATCGACCAGGCGCGATTATGTGTATGTAAGGCGCGGAACCGGGGGTTTATCGAACCGAGTTGAATCGTTTTCACTTGGGACTTGCGTTTCTCGACGGGCAATTAGAACAACAGAAGATGGAAACGTGACTCTTGACGCTCACAATCAAAGTAGACAGGTTCGACCGGAGAAAGACTAAAGAATAAATTAAACGAAGGTAGATAGGTGCACAAGTGGTAGCAACGTAAAATAGAAACCCTCCAGCCAGATGAACCCGTTCGCGCGCTGGAAACCTCTGTTTCCTTATACCTCTCAGGCTTTACACCCTCCCTCCCGTCCACCCCTTCAAACATTGCTAAGCCCGTGGTCTTGCATGACAACGGCCCCGGCCCCCAGAGATTTGGCGAAAAAGGAAAAAAGCGAGATCTGAACTCCTGGCTTGCGCCACAATACGACGTGCGTACCTTCCTTTAAGCCCGGCCGTGCAAGACCAACACGTCAGTGCCCCTCTTCCCCCCCCTGGTGTGGCAGCTCCTTGAAATCCCAGGAACGCACTGGGGAGAAGAAAGGGGATGCATCGATGCATAAAGCAGTAGTCTAATTGTTCCCATCCTCTATCCTTTGATTGGTCGAGTCAACAGGACATGTCCTAGGCATTGTGCACCCCGTACCCAGTCATCATGGCAGTGCAATGTGCCCCCCCCCCCTTGCATTCTAAGACGTCGATCACTGAACGAGGTTTAGTGGCCAGATGCCGTGCCGGCCGACCATGCACAACCTCCCTTCTCTGACTTCTCGTGTTGGCTCTCGTTGGTTGGCAACAGCTTTAACCAAGTTTCAGAAGTCATCGACCGGGGTGGGCCTCCTCCCTGGTTTCAATGCAAGACAGCTTCAGTATTGACCATACCTTATGTGATTCCGCTCCCGCACCCTTGGCCTTTGAACTAGTTTGGAAAACGAAACCGGAAGATCTGTCTCTGGGCCACCCCGTCGAGAAAGACGCATAAAGGGCTAGACCAATACCGCCCCTTGCCATCAGACGAACCGATGGCCACGAGGCCGGCTGGCTTACAACACGAACATGAGCAGGAAAAAAAAAAAAAAAGAGAGAGAGAGAAATGCCGGAAACGCACCAAAACAGAAAGGAAAGAAACAACAAGGGGATGGGGAAAGAAAAAAAAGACAAATGGCAGAAACATAAACGGACACGGCCTTTTTTTTTTCCTTCGTGAAGAAGAACCGAGCGCGTACAATCCAACGCTTGCGCAGGGTTGCTGCGATACAATTTCGTGATGCTGTGCTGTGCTGTGCTGTGCTGTGCTATTTACAAAGCTTGAAACGCCATCCGTCCTTTCCTCTCCTTCCCACAAACTAGGAAGCGCAATCAATCACCCTCTCCCCTCATCTTCGTGCATGCCTGCCCGATTGCCCCAACATGTCCGCATCTCCTCTAGCATCCCGTCTAATCCATCAGATGGGCTTAACAGATATCCGCGTGCAGCAAAAACCCGGCATTACAATGTGTTCCTGGTGTTCCGACTGTCGACAACCGTCTGGATGGGTAACCAGAGACCTGACCAACTTTTGGCTTAAACCAATGGATATCTCAAATCACGTCCAGCGTGGGGCATTGCATCGCGACAATCTCATCCAGTAGTGGGGTTTGTCTTCAAGGTTGAAGAGTCATTATGGCAGTGGTTGATACAGATTCTATTGTGGCATTGAGGAACCAACTTCCATCGTTGTTGCGCCGTTTCCCTACTCGTGCATTACTCGTCAATTCGTCCGACGACGACGATCGCAAAGGGACACTCCTCCCAAAGTGCCCTCGCAATCTTTACTCCCAGGTTTCTATTTAAAACACGACCAAAGTGAACAAAGCAACACCCCCATGCCTGCCTATATCCCATGAACTAGAAATGCATTGTACATACAGTCTACCCGATTTTTAAAAGTTCGCAACAGCGACGGCGATAGCCTGCGACTCCGAGTGAGAGATGGACACGCTAACGTCCTTGAGGCCAACTTTCTGGGCAGCAGCGGCAGCCTCACCGTGGAGCTGGGCAACTGTTAGCAATCGGGCCTTGACGATGTGAATCGGGACATGTGGCTTACCTTGACCAACGGGGCACCAGACTCGTCCCTGCCAATCTCGATATCTTTCAGTGGCGCACCCGCACCCTTGCTTGACACGCCAAGCGACTTGAAGACGGCCTCCTTCGCGCTCCACCGGCCAGCGAACGAGCTCTGAGGGCTGGGAGCCGACTGGCAGTACTTGATCTCACCAGCGGTGAAATTGCGCTCGATGAACGTCTCATTCTCAATGTTGATGGCAGAGATGTCCTCGACGTCAACGCCAACATTACTGTTCTTGTTGACAACCTTTTTGGCCAGAGCCTCCATCATGTCCTGGGTGGCCTTGGCCGCCGTGGACGACACCGTCTTCTCAGATGCCTTCATAAAGTTGGAAGGGTAAGTCATGGTGGACGTCTTCTTGTCCTCCGTCACGCGGGCGTCGGGGTTCAGGAGAACCTGGCTGAGCTGCTCGTCGGTGTAAGGAGCGTTCGACTTGGCAACGAAGAGCGTGTTGTTGACCAGGCCGTTGTGGAAGAAGCGATACGCCTTCTTCTGGCGGGCCTGAACCTTGGCAGAGTACTCCTCGTACGTCTTCTCATCGAGTGTGGCAAAGAGGTACTTGGGGTGGACACCAATGGCCTGAGCGCCCTTCTGACCGAAACCGAACGAGGTGACGGAGAAGGCCTTGATGCCATCGGTCTGGATGCTGCGGCTGGGGTACACAATCATGTCGAACTGCTCCATGATAGGATCGACGTTGTCTGCGTTGCGGTTGCCAGGCACCAAGCCCGTGTTGAGTACCTGCAGGCAGCCGTTCATCATCCAGGCACCGGCAGCACCCTTGGGGTGACCTGTAAGGTACTTTTGGAAAATGCCCATGACAGCATTGCCCTTCTTGCGGCCAAGGTGGCGGAGCTGTTGGCAGATGACAGAAGACTCGTTCTTGTCGTTGGCCTTGGTCGAAGTTCCGTGGAAGGAAGCAACGGCGAGGTCGTCAATGGTGAGACCCCAGGTGGCAAGGGCACCACGGAGAGGAGCGATCTCCGGGTTGTTCTTCCAGAAGTTGTTGCCGAGGCTACGGAGAACGTCCTTCTCCTGGCGCTCGGCCTCCTTCCTGATGTGCTCGGCACGGTTGTGAGCATACTCCTTCTCGTTGACTTCCTGGCCCTGGGCCTTGATAGCCTCAACCTCCTCGTAGAGGTACTCGAGCTCGGACTCCTGCCACTGCTTGATCTGCTTCTTGCGGAGCTCGATCTGGCGGCGGCGGTAGTTGATGTCAAGCAGCGGCGAGGGGAACTTGCCGGCGTGCTCGCGGGCGGTGGTGAGGACACCCTGGCCAGGAGCGGGAACGGAGCGGCCGATCTTGTCCGTGGCAGTGGTGGTCAGAGCCAGGATACCGTGAATGGGCATACCCATGTCGAGGGCAAGCTTGGCTGTCATGAGAAGCTGGACACCGCAACCCTGGGACTCCATGAAGCCGTTACGGGTGGTGGTAGTGGGTCTGGACATCTCGCCAGGGGTGCGGCCGTGAGCCATCTCGTCGACAGCGTTGCTAGTGGCCTTCATGTTGGCGAACTCGTAGGAGCCCTCCTCGCCGAAGTCATCGAAACCACCGACGAAGACGACACGAGCCTTGCCCTCCATGATGGTCTCGTAACCGATGTCGACGGACTCGACAGCAGTGGCGCAAGCGCCAACAGGAGTCTTAATGGGACCGGAAGAAGAGATCAACAACATGTTAACCCAGGCGGCCATAGTGTTGATGAACGACTCCTGGAGAATGTCGTTCTGGACAGGCTTGTCCAGGTAGCGGTCTCTGTGCATGCCACGGAGAGCGCCGGCACCACCCATACCGGATCCGATGCAGTTACCGACCTCGGAAACGTGGACGTACTTGTAGAACTCGTAGGGGTCGGTGATACCGGCCGACAGCAGAGTCTCAGCGACGGACACGAGGACAAAGAGGGTGACGGGGTCGACTTGGGACACAATGTCCTCGGGAACACCGTATCTCTTGGCGTCCCAGCCAGTAGGGATCTGACCGGCAACAAGTCTGTCGAAGCGGAGGGCCTTGGGGATTAGGAGGGCGGCTCCCTTCTTCATGCGGACAATGTACTCGCCAGACTCGGGAATCTCGAAGATCTCGACCTTGTCGCCGTGCTCACGCTTGAACTCTTCGGCAGTCTCCTTCGATGCCTCGAAAGGCTCGAGGTCTTCCTCGATGACAACCTCGTGGAGAAGTTGCTTCTGCTCGGGGTCGTAGCCGCCGAAGAGCTCAGGCTCAATCAGACGGATACCAGAGTGCTCAAGAATGAACTTCTCATACTTCTGCTTGATGTCCTTGTCGTCAACGGGCTCACCAGTCTTGGCGTCAACCCAGCCGGAGTAGGGGGCGGGCTTGCCCTTGATGGGGCCATTGTGGTTCTTGATGAGACCCATGATCCAGGCCATCTCAACGCATCCCTCCAGGGAGAATTCGCCGTAGGCCTCCATCTCCCAGCGGGTGCGGGAGTTACCCCAAGGGCCGACCTCAGCAAACCCGGTAACAACGACGACCTTCTCCAAGTCGACCATGCCCTTGAGGCGGTCGTTGAGGGGAGCAATCTCCTCTTCCCAGTCGGGGAGGTTGGGGAAGTCGAACTTGAGGTTGGCACGGGGCTCAACAACGGTCTTCTTGTAGAGGGCCTCAGAATTGGGGCCGTTGACGACCTTGTTCTCGATGGCATTCTCCTTGCTGACAGCGCGGCGGACCTCGCTGGTTTCCATGATGTCCTTACGGAGCTTGGTCATGGTCTGGTTGAGGTCAGGAATGAACTGCAACCCACCGTTGAGGTCGGCAAAGACAGGCTCGCTCTGGCAGAGATCGACAACGGCAGGGCACATGAGACCCAAGAGGTTGAAGGCCATCTCCTGCTGAGAGAAGGTGCGGACACCGAAAGCCTCAACACCCTCGGCAACGATGT